TGGACGGGACGGGAGCGCTCGGGAGACCTGGGGCGGCAGCGACCGCCTAACAGCGCCCGAAGGGGAGAGCGGGGAGCTCTGGGGCCAGAGCACAACTTTTGGAAAGGGAGTAGCAACAGACGGAGGTGAAAACAGGGCCTGACAAAAGCAGAGATGTAGGAAAAGCAGGAACTGGGTCGGGGTGGCCGAGCCTCCTCTCCCCCATGTTGTGTTTGTACCGGTGCGTCGTGTCGACGCGTTACTCCTGTCACCTCACCAGCTCCCGGCTGGTGACACCACCCCGTCCGTTTCTTGACATCTCTTTGCAATATCCTCGTGCTGTCGTATGGGCACGGCACAGCAGCAGCTCTGCTCCTGTTGCGAGGTCCTTGGGGCAACCACAACTTGGGAAAATTAATGCCGTGAAGACGTGGTGATGGCTCATGGCTCTGTCACGGGATCTCTGGGGACGCTGCTGGCTGGGACAACATCCTCTCCGCAGCAGGGCTTCGTTTTGGGGATTTGCAGCCCTTGATCCGGCGTTCAGGATGAGGACGTTGCCATCGGCCTGCCGCGGTGCCACGAAGCAGCGCCAGGACCGCTCGGTCCTCGCAGCAGCTTTGGTGCCTCGTCGAGGGCGCAGCGGTCACGTCGGAGCAGAAACGTGTCTTCCGCGCGGCGCCGCGCTGACGGGACGTGCTCACGTGTCGCCTTCGCTGCCGCACAGGTCATCAGTTGAGCGCAGGGGCTGTTCCGACCCGGAGGGTCCGGGACCAGGTGTCACCTCAGAGACGAGCTTTGAGCTGTGCAGGATTTTTGCTGTGAAGTGGCTGTGGACACCCGTTTCCTGAACGGTGCAGGAGGTGATCTGTGTGCCTTGTCCTTCGTTAAAGTCTTGCTCTTTCAGGTGTGTAGGTTGTAAAATGCCACACTTCTTCCCTGTGTGGCAGCAGCTCAAGATCATGGACCGCAAGTCCAGATCAAGGGGTATGGACAAGGCGAAGGAATCCGTTTCTCTTGCAGAATCCGAGATACACATTAAGCTATCTCGGGAAACCACTTCAGTTATTAACCTAGTAACACTGGAAAGGGAAGCGCTTTCTGTTTTTTTTCTCCCTCTCTTGCAAGAGTAGTTTCTGCCTGAGGGTTTTGTCTGATAGTTCTCTGGATAAACACAATCACCACTGAGTTGGAAAACGGCTCTGTCAGTGCAGAAAGCTTGGGCTTTTCCTCTGCCTTCTTTTCCTAAAACACTACTACTGCTATGAGCTTTAGGTGTTGAAAAACTGGAGTGCAGATTTAAGGAGGGAGTGCTGGAGTCATCTAAAAGTACAAAGATGGTCAATGTCTGTAACTTTTGAGATAGGAAAGTTATCATTATGTCCAAGAAGCAGGAATTAATGGAAGGAAAACAACTACTGGAACTGCTTTTTCCAAAGTTAACTGACTTCTGGATGTGAAAGCCACTTTCCAGCATCACGTTACACTTTCTAAATAATTTGAGGTGCCCACTGTGAGCTCTGGTGAGCAGCCCCATCAACGTGACATCAAGAGGCTCAGCCGTGCCTCCTGGCTGCACCGCTCGTGCCCCGGCGCGGCCGGTTCGTGCCTTGCTGTCCTGCTTCCTGCCCCCTCGGCGCTCGCTGCGTTTCGTGCCTCCCGACACGTGGGTTTCCGTGTCAGACTGCAGCTCCCTCCCTTGCCGTGGGATGCAGGGTCATTTCTTGTGAGCAGCAATCAGTGTAAGCAGGAAGAGCCTCCCCGCTGTCGTAGTTTCTGTATTTAAGGCAGGCCTTTCTCACCTATTGACTCGTCTCTCCCCTTGTTTCTGTGGTCTTTGGTACTTGGTTCGGTTTCAGGCGTGTTTCAGTTAGTGTGCAATGGGCCATTTGCTTTGTCTGTCACTTGTTTATTCTTTTCTCAGTCCAAACACAGCATCGCTAATTACTTTATGGTGACTTTCAGCTCGCTGCAGTTCGCACTTGCTCTAGTGCTTTGGCAAAATAAACTCGTGATTAGTTATTGGATTGTCATCTTGTCATATTGACTATTGCTTTTCATTTCAACACCGGATCTTTAGTATAAGGTCTCGTCATTTCTGAAGTATTCTTGACATCTGTTCAAGCCACCCCTTTCACTGCTAACCGTTTCAGTCTTCATTTTTCAAAATCCTTTGCACGCAGCCCCTTATTGATCCTCACAATCAATATATGGACCGTTGTCTCAGGAAACGGGATTCTGCAGATTCCTTGGGACTGAAGGCAGCAGCCGTGGAGCAAACCCTTGTCCTCCCGTGGAGCTGGGGTGGGTTGCCTGGAAAGGATTTGTCCAGCAGCTTTGTCCTTACTCGCGTGCCATCAAGGTCCAACAAAGGGACAACAACGTTTTCCTGAGTTGTGCAGCCATTTCCCAGGATGACCACTCTCAAAATGGAGGCAGTCTGAATCTTTTCCACCCCCTTCCTTCATTACTCCATAAACTCCTCCCCCCACTTTTTTCTTATTATTTTTAAGTGCACACAGTCCACGGGCTCTGCAGCCAGACACCGGTGTCCCGTGGGGTGTCCTGCTGTGTAATAACCAGGCGGTAGGAGAAGGTGGTTGGGGCCCGCGTTGCGGACACCACGTGGGGTCGGGGTTGTTCTCTCTCTCCGCTAGTTCTGGCTGAGGAAGGATCAAGAATTCCGTAGTGGCCTCAGAGATTCTCCCGCTCTCTTTCTCTTGGATGGCAATATCTTTTGCTGCCTTCCAGGCCAACAGTTGTCATGACAGTAATTATGTCTAGAAAATAATTGGCTCTGTAGTCGTGGAATTTGTAATATGTGTTTCAAGACCCGAAGGCACTAATTTAGAGTCCCATGTCTGGGGTGGTGGGGTGTGTTTTGGGGTTTTTGTTTGTTTTTGTCTTGGTACTTTGTACTTTTATTTATTTATTAACCTGTGCTTTGTTTTCTTAAATAAGTTGTAGGACCCTAGTGCTGCAGGGTTGTAATGTTGCACAGCCAAGGACCATAAAAAGATGTCATTGATGACTTTGGGACAGACTGTGGCTCTCTTCCACAGTCAGATGCCCTCAGTCAGCTCAAAGGCATTGGTTAATTACCTGCTTGCTCCCTACCTAGGCTGAACTTGATGAGCAGCATTTCCATGTCCATGAGCCCAAGGAGCAGCAGATGTTCTGGGTTGTTATCCAGGCCTCAGCCCATATTGCTGTGTGAACTCCCGAGCAAGCACTGAATGCCAGGAAGCAGGTGCCTGTTCCCAGCGTCTCCCTGTGTCATCCCTCCCCTCCTCGTCCGTGCCGCTTGCGGTTGCACCGTCCCCTCTTTGCTGCTCGGCTCTCGGTTTCTCTGCGGCCCCCCGAGCCCCCTGCGTGCGGCAGGGCCTGGGGAGAAGCCCCCGTGTGTGGGGCCGGGCTGCTTCTCATCCCATGTCCAGAGCGGGGGGCTCAGCTTGCAGAAGTGCTGCCTTCGAACAAGCACGATGTGTGTGTGTTAGAGTGATGGGTTGGGGCCAAAATCCTCCCTTGAGTGTGTAAGTAATAAAGATCTGAGGTCTCAAACTGATGGGAGGATAAATACCAGTGGAATGCTGAGGATCAATGGAGATAGCACCATATGCAGTCAGAGACTGAGGGCAAGGTGGTCACTGCAGAAGAAAGAAGCTCTGGAAGAGCTGTTAAATACCCCTGACTGGACCTCTTTTTGCATAACAATTTCTAATGCTACCCTGTGTAATTTCTATTACCTTTTGCTTTGAGATTAAATTACCCGTCTTTGTCAGTGGGGTTAATGTCTGGAGGAGTGCTCTTCTTTTAAAGAGAGGTCTCAGTTGTATTTTTCTCTTTTCTTGAAGGCCTCGGTTGGCAGGCAGAGTCCAAGAGTGGTGCCGTACCCAGCCCACAGTCTATGTCCTGGAGAGCCTGGCCTTCAGAGTGCAGCAGGTAGACACAGTTTAAATATGGTTCTGTGTTGGCCTGGTTTCCAGAGGAAACAGATGTCCTGTGATCAGTCTGCCTCTCCCCTCCCTCTCTCCTTTCAATTTTTCAAACCTGATTCCAATGGCATTTCACAGGAAAAGCATAAAGATACCAAAGCTTCTGCAAGTGTCTGCCAGTTCTTACAGTAAGGGGTAGATATCCTAAAAATGTCTGAAGTGAAGGAGAGGCTTCAGTGTGCATTCATATGTTGCAACATTAAAGAATACAGTTGGGAGAGGAAAACATTCAGAAAAGCTTCAAATTCAACATTTAGTCATAAGACACGCGCATGCAGGGAACAAGACTTTGCTTTTTAGTGCTTTTGGAAAAAAATGTCTTTTGGTTTGTGTCTCCCAGTGCCGCCCCCCACCCCTTTTCTACGTAATCTCATTCCAAATCTTGTTGCATCTGAATATTTGGTTTAGGGAGGAGCTAGTATCCAGCTTTCTTCTAATTCCTGCAGTTGTGTCAATGGGATCAGCTGATCATCGATTGAACCTAGCAGAGATCCTTTCACAAAACTATGGTGTACGGGAAGAAAGGGAAGAAGAAGAAGACACTCAGGAGAAACAGAAATCCTTAGAAGAGCTGGAAAAGAGTCTCAGTGCCTCTCAGGTAAGGGTAGCAAGGGGAAGGGAATTACATTTGGGTTTTATTTTGGCAGGAGGTAATACTGGTACCAGAGACCTTCCTAGTGGAAAGCTTGCTGACTTGGTTGACCTGCTGGTTATATCCTGAGCTCAGGTCTGCTCAACAGTGAGGTCTAGATTTGGACTGGGATAGGAAGGAATCTGTTTGCCAAGAGGGAACAGCAGTAAAATTTGGAGTCTTCCTCTGCCAGAAGGTCAATCTGACAAGGTGGCTTGGGCCACCTCACTGAAGAGCTGTTAGCTGTGGGGATAGGGGGCAGTTTCCATTTCAGAGTGGAGGAAGCACAAAGAAATGATAACTCGATCTCTGTGTACAGCAGTCCTCAACGGAACACAAAGCGTAAGATCTCTTGATGACAGATTGTCTCTTTAAGTTTGGCGCAAGGATTGCATAGGGATTTGGTCTTTCTTTTAAATAAATGCAGTTATGCTGTTTGGCATGTCTTGACCAGTATGAAATCTAGAATAAAAAATATATGTAAGAAATTGCCTTCGGACACAGTACTTGGGGTAGAAGTTCTTGGCTTATCCGTTGCTTTGATGAGGGCAGGTTGTGATGAGTCCTGCTGGGCCTTGCCTCCATTTGGCCCCATCATCACACAGCGTTATCCAAGGCATTTCCGTGCCCCTGGAAGAGCAGAGCTGCTTTGACTGCTTCCACGTGTCCCTGTTTGCCACAGCTGGTGCTGTACTCGCTGATTGTTCCATTCCTGATGAAGCTTTGTCCCCCTCTTGCTCAGAGCAGTGAAATGCCGTTCGAAGAGCTGCTTGCACTTTATGGCTATGAGGCATCTGATCCCATCTCGGAGCAGGACAGCGAGAGCAATGATATTACTCCAAATCTCCCAGATATGACTCTGGATAAGGTAAGAGCAGCTGTCTGCTTGTGTGTACGCACCGTGGTTTTGGCTGCTGCATTGCCTTAGAGTTTTGGTTGTCTAGTAGCTCCTCTGCATTTAGAATCTGAGACTTGTATTTCAGTGAGATTTAGGTAATGCAAGGGAGGGCCCTGCCTAATTTTGATGTCTCAGAGTTCAGAGGCGGCTAGACAAAGGATAACCTTTAAAAAGAGCACTGTAGAAACGTCTTACGGAACACAGATTACAGTTCTTATATAGTAATGTGAATCTGTGAAGAATCAGGGAAGCTTTACATCTTCCCATGCAAAGCTATGGCTCTAGCTGAAATATGCTTTACTGTAGGCCTCACCACACCCCTTTTTAATTTAAAAATATTTTTCACTTTCTTGTTGTTGTTAAAAGGAACAAATAGCGAAGGATTTGCTTTCAGGGGAAGAAGAGGAGGAGACCCAGTCTTCAGCTGATGATCTGACTCCATCCGTCACATCCCACGATGCATCAGACTTATTCCCAAACCAGCCTGGCTGTATGTGTTGCAAATTTCTAAGTAACTGTTTTGTAGTTAGATGAGACGTGTGGGATAGGGCAAGAGCTTATGTCTTTACTTTGTCACTAAGTTGCTTTGTAGTAAAAGTTTTTCATATTTCTTCTGGGGACTGTGAATGAACCAGAGTATTCATATTTTTATCAAGCATTTAGTTAAAACATAATGATATGGCGTGCAAGTTAGCAGTGGGATCAAGAGAACATTGTCTTTAGGCAGCTCTTAATGTTGGGAGTTTACTATCTGCTGTAGCTGTTGGCACAACCACACAATTAAAAGGGATTGATGAGGAGCTTTTTTTCTTTTTTCGCTGCCAGAGTTTTCTGTAGAATAATCAAACGTTAGGATTGGGCACAGAATTGCAGTCCAAAGGATCAGCCTTGATCTGATCTCTAGGAGAGAGTAAGTTTAGTAGTACCTGTGGTCTGATATATTGTGTCCTACATATCTGTGATTTTAATGTTAGGAATATGTGGAAAGCCAAAGTACACGAGAAAGGAGCAAAATCACTTTATGCCGAGTCTTCCCCTATAACTACAGAATGAGGGAGTCTGAGATCCCCAGGTTGGTCAGTACCACCCATGTGGCAAGGGTGCAAATTCTGTTGTTTGAAAGGAGGAAGTGAGATTCTGGTAAGTTGTCACTGAGGACTGTGCTTAACCTAACTTGAGGATAGAAAATAAAGGGAAGGAGAGGGGGAAAAAGAGCAAGCAATAGAAATAAACCATTTTGTGCCTACAGAAAATCTTTCTTTCCCTCAAAGCAAACAATTTTCTTGCTGATGAAGACAAAGAGCCCTGTTCATCTCCATGTGCTTCTTCCATGGCTGAGGATTCAGAGGAGGATTCCATCCCATCCAATGAGTGCAAGAAGGTAAATGATCTAAGTGCATCCAAAAAACTCCCAAATTAATTCTGGGTACACAGCTTGCAGGAAACCTGCTGCATTTCTTTATCTTCAGCAATAGCTGAAGACTAGTTCTTTTCCATACATGTACTTAACATTTAAAGTAAATCTCTAAGGTCCCTAGGGTATAATCTCATTGTTTGTATTTTTTTTTTGGTTACCCTATGAAATAGTCAGGCTTCCTTAGAAGGAATAGTGACAGCGGGGACCACTGATGTATAAATAGACCTCATGCTGTGGTAGTCCCTAAACCATGAGGTGTATTTCAGTGCCTACATAGAGCACTTTCTTTTTAGTTTTACCACCTCTCTGTGCTGATGTTTCAGGAGATCATGGTTGGACCTCAGTACCAAGCTACTGTTCCCATCCTCCACTTAAACAGGCACAGTGAAAAAGGTGAGGCAACTTGTTTCATGTGTCTTGTTTGGATATATGGCTGCTAGTGTGGGCACTTGATGGGACTCTGCTTTACCAGTGCAGTTCCATATCTCTAGGTTTGGCACCTCTGGGTGTTGATAGCAAAACTCAGCTGTACCAGAACTAGCTTTATACCAGTGTATTTGAATATGTCTGTTAGAACATCTACAGAAGCAGAGGGACTCCATGAAAATTGGATTGTTTTTCTTCATTTGAAGGGTGGATGATCACAGCTGTAACCAAAGAGAGGGAATATTCTATTTGAGATATTCTAGTCTATTTTTCTTCTAATTTATTTTTTTCTTACATCCCCTTTAACAAGCAAGAGGTACCTTCATTCAATACTCCCTGGAGCTGATAAGTTTTCTTGCAGCTGATCAGTTTTCAGTTTGGTAGGATATCTATAAAGTAGAGGAAGATGACTTAATTGGCAGATTGTGTCTGGTGCTAGTATTGCACTAGTAATAACTGATTGATTTTCTGAAGAAGGTAGGTAACAGCCTCCTCTTTAGAAATGACTCACTTCCTCCCTGATTCTTTTAACCCAGCAGATTCTAGGTGAATTAGTTGAGAGAGGCAAGTTACCAGTTTTGAGGACAGATTTTCAGCTTAATACAACACTCAGAATTTCTTACTGATTCAGTAAATTTAGGGTGTTCTCAGCTTTTAGAACATGGTAACAAAAAACCCATCATCAGCCAAACCTTCTGAAAAAGTTGAAACAAGCAGAATTTATTCTTAGGGCTCTAAAAGAGCTGTAAAGAGTCGGGAGGAAAAATGTTCTACCTTCACACTGGTGGTTGTAAGCTTTAACAGCAGCTTGGAGTCTAAGCAAAGATTTACCCACTCCTTCTGTCTCACAAAAGCAGTGGAACTCTTAGATTAGCTTATTTCAGTGTTTTGTTTTGTTTTTTTCCTGTTAGCCTATGAGAATGAAGATCAGCTGCTTTGGGACCCAAACATACTCCCTGAGAGAGAGGTTGAAGAGTTTCTGTACCGTGCGGTGAAGCGGAGATGGGATGAGCTGTCTAGCAGCACCCTCCCGGAAGGAGAGATGGTGAAGGACAATGAACAGGTAAATATATGGGCTTCTTGCAGCCAACGGATAACCTCTATGTGCTGCTCCAACATCATCTGGAATGCTACCGTCAGAGAGGGAAAGTGTGAACAGGGTGCCTCACAGCTGTGGAACTGAGGGATGGCGTCCTACAGAGATCCTGAATGAGACCCCCTTTAAAGAGGGTGAGACCTACCACGTGCAGTCCTCTCCTGCTCCATGGATAAATGAGAGACTGCTTCTCAACTGCAGGCCAAGGAGGCTGCTCACCCTGCACTGGTCGGTTTTGGGAAGCTGGAAAAGGGCCGAGATGGATCAGACCACAGGCCTGTCTGTCTCAGAAGACAGTTAACAGCTGCTCGTGGAAAGAATGCAACAGACTGGGCAGGGTAGATATTGTTCTGACTGTATTCACCAAGAAACCTCAGAAGTCAGAGACAGGGCTTGCAGCAGGGCAATCCTTTTGGACCCATCCTCTATAAAACTGTTGGATTATTTTTGAAATCTGTGGAAAATTAAAACATTAGCAAAGAATATTCATAGCAGTTTCTTTTCCTTTAAATTACCCAGATTGGATTCTCTTAGTCCTGGTAGCTGCAGAAACACAGAGGCAGTAGTTTCTAGAGCTGCTTCTGTTCAGTCTCAGGGTTTGTAATGTGTCCTAAAAAGTGCAACATCCATGCTGGTGCTCGTGGTTGGGTTAGTAGTTATGTGGCTCCTAGGAAAAATGTGTTTTATGAGGCAAATATCAGAGGCAGGTTTGTTTGTGGTGCGTTGCTGTGGCCCATGCTGTCAGTCATGGTTTTTGTTTGTTTGTTTGTTTCCTAGGCTCTGTATGAATTGGTTAAATGCAACTTCAATGCAGAAGAGGCTCTACGGAGGCTTCGGTTCAATGTGAAGGTTATCAGAGGTGAGAAAGCCTCGTATTCAGATTCTACCCCAAACATCAAGGAACAAATAATTTTTTCTAAGTTCTGTAGATCTCCTCCAATTCCTTTTCCCTTCTGTTATAGATGAGCTTTGTGCTTGGAGTGAAGAAGAGTGCAGAAATTTTGAACATGGCTTCAGAGTCCACGGGAAAAACTTTCATCTCATCCAAGCAAACAAGGTAAGGATGCTGAGCCCTGTGCTGAACTAAGACAAAGGGAAGGAGGCATGTGCGTTTCCACCAGAACTGTGTTTTGAGGCCTGGCTAATGCAGGGAGTTCAGGACTGCTGAGTTCCAATCCCAGACTTTGTGTTGACTCATCCTAGCAGGTGATGGGCTGTTCACTGCCCTGCTCTGCCTTATTTTCCAGGTGGGAGAAGTCACAAACAACAGTGACCTACATGAGTGATGTCAGTTAATTACTGATTAGCCCTTTCTGGAGTCTCAAAAGTTCTTTCCAAACTCTCAGCCCTTTCAGCCCTTGCAGTACTTCTGTGAATGAGTGAGTTGAGCATGTGGATGTTTTGTAAAGTCCCCTGGGGTCCTCTAGAATGAAAGATACTTTTGTAGGGAGAACTGGGCCCCAGGACACGTGCTGTGGTGCTGGGAGTTGGCAGAACCAGAGAGTCCAGTTCTACCACTGATTCATTGTGGGCATGTTGACACTGGCCAGTGAAAATGGGTGCAAGTTTGCTTTCTTGGTGTTAACTGCTACTGGAAGCGCAAGGGAAGTCCTGCGTAAACGCACCCTGTGTGAACCCACACTGGGGCCTGCAAGAACAATTATGCACCATGGGGAGTTCCTTCTCTGGGTAACACCACCTTGGATATTTCATTATCTACTTCTGTTCTGCTGCGTAGATGTGTCCACAGTGACGTAAGTCGCTGTGATGCATTTAATTTTCTGTACTGGTAAACGGCAGAACAGTCTTTGCTTTGAGACACACCTTGATGCTTGGGTTTCTGACTACCATGTTTCCCCTCAGGTCCGCACCAGGTCAGTTGGAGAATGTGTGGAATATTACTACATGTGGAAAAAGTCAGAGCGCTATGACTACTTCACTCAGCAGACTCGTTTAGGAAGGAAGAAGTACGTCCTCCACCCTGGAGCCACGTGCGTGGAATATTCTCACACTAAAATTAGTAATATTGACTCCCCAGTGAAGATCCCTGCTGCAAAGCACCTCTGCTTGAAAGGCTGTGCTCTCTGCTCTAGAAGGTTTCTTGGGTGTTCACGTGGAGAGGTGCCTTGGTTGTATTCAGAACACAGACAACTGGTAGTGTGGGGAATGAAGGGAAAATGCAATTATTTGCTAGAATGTGGACTTTCTTGCATCAGAAAATACTACTTTGTTTAAGAGAAATGTGTTCATATGAAAGATTCTTATTATAGTCAGAGACTCGGGGCTGATCTTAAGAAATAACTCCGTGCAATGAAGCTTGGGAAAGGGAGTTTCATAAGTGCAAAAATAAGAATGAATATGGAGCACAAATTTATTTATTTATTTATTTATTTATTTTTCCAACCACCCTTCGAGGCAGATCCTTCACTTTAAAATCCATGCTAATTACAGCAAATACCTTTCAAAAAAGTTGAAATTTAAATGTTTTTAAAAGGTCAAAATGAAATTCTTCAGTGGAATCAGTTAAAAATATTAGATCTTAGGCCATGAAAATATTTGAAATCCTGTCTTTTTTTCATCTGACTGGAGACAGGAAAATATCTGAAATCGCAGAAATTCCTCCAGTGTGGAATTTTTTTTTTTCTTGTCTCTTTTGCTTTTTGCTAGCACTGATGTTGTTACAGCCCCTTGCAGCCATTCTATGGAGATGACTGTTCCCTGGGGAGAGTATTTGACCATTTATTACATTATGGAAGGGGCTGAGGCTCATGGAGAGCTGGGGGTGATCAGAGCTCTTTGTTTTGGAAAGCTGCACAGCCCATTTTGACTTAACACGTGCTGGTCTTAGCCTTTCATTGCAATCGCCCCAGTGCAGAATCTAAATTGAGCTCTGCAGCCCAGAAGGGAGATGGATCCTTGTTCTAGAGGCCCTTTCAGCCCTGTTGCTTTATCTGCTGGTAGGTTTTAATCTCAGTCATTGCTTTTCCTGCCTTAATGGATGATTGCAATACTGTCTCTCTTTGCCCACAGGGATTTTGCCGACAATGACTTGGATGGGGGTGAAGTAGAAAATGCTGGTCGCTCTCGGAGCTCCCCGCCAATCCCCTCTGCCACTGGCTGCCTGGACTCTCACTTTGGTCAAGATCAGCTGGCAATTGAGAGTGCAGGTAACTTCTTCTCTCCTGTCTGTCATGGGGATATCACCTTTTCCTTGCTCATGAGCATAGAGCCTCCTCTGCCTTTCTCCTGATTCACATTGGCTCTGAGAAGAGTTTGGGCCTAAAATGGATTAACTCCTTTCACCATTTTACCAGAGACTGAGGCTTTGTGTAGGCACCTCCAAAACATCACTTGGGGTGTAGGCTTGTGGGGGGAAGGATTTAGGGTTGGGCATATTTTAGAATGTCTCTGTGAGATTTCCTTTAATTTCCATAGAAACACAGATATCCCATCTGCTGAATCTTGCTTTTCTTCAGTAGTTGCTCACAGAGATCTTGTTTGCTGCACTAAAGAAACAAGCAGCTATCCCACATTGTGCTGTGAAATTCATAACATTGTGGTTAAGTGGGATTGAACTGGGTTCTGTTTTCACATGCCATGGACTCAATGTAGTTTTCCTTCCCTTGCTGTTCCCCACTTCTTCCTTGTCTGGGTATCCATTCCCCATACATTTCCCTCTTCCGTGGCGTGCAGAGCCCCTGAGCGTGGAGAGCACGGCCTGCAGCTTGGGCAGCATGAGCGAGTCGGGGCAGGGCTACGAGTGCAGCACCCCCTCCGAGACAAACTGCTCCTTCGACCCCGCAGAGGAGACGTCCTCCGGCACCGTCTCCGCTCCCTGCACGCGATGCCCTGTCACCCCCTCAGAAACGGGGCTCTATGCTCTGCCACCAGCAGCATCGGGACTGGCAGAGAAGCAGGAGACGTTGCAGAGCTCTGGTGAGACGATAACCATGGACTTCACTCTCCCTGCAGATATTAATGAGGGTTTGCCTTTAATTGCTGGCCCTGTGGATTTGGACAGAGACACAGAGGCAGTGGTGGCCCCTGCGCAAGTGTCCTTATCGGTCACAGATTTTGGCCTCATTGGCATTGGAGATGTAAATAGTTTTCTGACTGCTCATCAGGCCTGCCCGGCACCTGTGGCTCGGTCAGAGCCCTTGTCACAGTGAAAGTCTCCAGTCACAAACTTGTCACAGACCCAGCAAGGACTTTGACTTGACTAAGTGAAATCCTGGAACGTCCCCTGTTTCATGGGGATGATTTGGAGCTGTTGGTCAGAAACCGTCTTTCCATCCTCCTTGATCCAAGGCTACAGTGAAACCAAACACCTTTCTGCTCTAGTGTTTTCTGGCACAATCACACGAAGCTGGTGGCTGGCTTTAGTGAGGGGGAAGCCCGTGACCCCCGGTTCGCTGGCTATGTGTCACCCCAGGTAAGGCCAGGCTGTTCAGAGTCCCTGCCCTCAGGACAGTAGAATGGTCCTTTGGCACCAGTGGGACAGCCTGGTACAGTGAAGATGTTCTCAAGACAGGGATGTATCACGGGCACTTCGGAGTCTGGGACGGAAGATGCATCCTGGTGGTCCAAAGCTTAGGGAATGGGCAGGAAGCACCGTCCGCCCGGGCCGGAGGGCTGCTAGCCTGCAGAGACGGGCACGGTGATGCCAAGGGAAGACGAGTGGCGGCTGTTCACCCGCAGAGGCTGTGCTGCAAGAGAAGTCATTCTCCCTGTTCCTCTTCTAGCAGCTCTCCTGCACCTCCTGAGCTGTGAGTCACTGCTGTTCTCTAACCTTTGGAGCTGATCCTGTCTGCCCACACCGCCGTCAGCTCCAGAGGAGATGGGCTTTGTTCCAGCCCCTTTGGCTAAAGCCTCAGGTCGTGGGAAGAGGTGCTGCGTGGTGGGGTAGCGCTCTGTGCCCTTAGTCCTCCCGGTGCCGTGGGCTGGGCCGTGCAGAGCTGCTGCTAGGAATAAAGGGAGTTTCTAGACGGACAAAGGGATGTTGCCCCTCGGAGCACCGCGGTGCTGTCACTGCTGCTGGTGGCAGTGACACTGGGCCCTTACTGCTTCTGCTGCGTTGCAGGAGGGTTAAATGCAGATAAAAACCTGTGTCACTTCCCAGCTCATTCAAACAGGTTGTCAGCCCTGAAAGGAGGAAAGAGGAGGACCGGAACACGGGACGGGGTGATGAGGGGAAGCGGCTCTGGCTTTACTGGAGGGGCAGCAGCTGCCTCTGAGCAGAAGGTACCTGAGGAGGCAGCTCTGGGCTGCTGTCCTGTCCCCTGGGCAGGCCGGGGACACGGGGCAGGAGGGCACTGGGCCCTGCTGCGTCGCTGCAGTGCCACGGCTGTGCCTGGAACAGCCCGGAATGAAGCTCACTCTCTCCCGGGAGGAAGGCAGCGATGTTTCCAGGAGGTGGCAAAGGTGGCAGCGTGTGCCAGCGAGGTGGCAGGTGCTGGCACGTGGTGGTGGAGTCCAGAGCCCCCTTAGCTTCCCAGGTCTGCTCCCGATCTGGGCTTTGCCACTGGTTTAAATTCACGTATTCTCATTCCCTTCTCCCGTGCAGGGAATGCGCCTGCCAGCTTGCTGGGAGGGCTGTGATGCAGATGTTCCCCTTCTGCAGCCCCTGTCAGGCCCTGGGAAGGGGTCGTGAGGAGGTGTTTGCTGCTTTCGGTAGATGCCTTCTGGTTACGACCCTGCAGTTAGTTCTGCTGTCCATGGACTTGAAAAATGACTAAAACCGTGAGCCTGGATCTTCCTCCTTAGCCAGCCACGCTCAGCCCTAGGGGGGAGCATGAAGACAGCATCAGCTTCCCAGGATGCCTTGGCGTCAGATCCTGCCTCGTTCCAAAGCCAGGTCTGTTTTGCCAGGGCTTGGTCCCTGCTCGGCTCTGCCCGGAGCAGACGTCGCTCCGTGCGAGCTCTGCGCGCCGGCTGCTCCCGGGCTGGGCAGGGAAGGCCGATCCGTCTGCTCGCTCCATAGTGGAACTTCCCCAGGCTTCCCCGTAATTCCCCTTTTCTGGGGGAGAGAGGAAGCTTCCCTGGCGGGAGGGGGCGGCAGGGGGAGAAGCATCCAGAGCCCTCCCAGGGAGGGCCAGGCCTGGACATCTCCTCTCCGTAGGTCAAGAACCTTCTTAGTTTTCCGGAAACCATTTTTCTTTGGTTTGTTTCAAGCCCAAATGACAGGAGAGGGGAGGCAGAATTGTCTCTTATTTATGTTCTTCAGTGTTGTTTACAGATTCGCATGGGGTCTTTCAACATGAGTGTGGCGCTTTTTCCGTAAAACATTTTGGGAAAGTGGAAAGTGCTGGGAAAGGGAGGGGGAGTTGCTTTTTTTTTTTTCTTTTTCTTTTTTTCTTCTTTTGGTTTGGGGGTTTTCTTTTTCCTTCTTAAAAAGCACATTCACTTTGAGCCGCTCTCAATGCTGGACTCTTTTCCACTCCCTCCCTACAAGCCCTACACTGTGAAGTGATACTGCCTTGAAGACTCCGCGCCGTTATTTATTTAATTAAAACCTAAGTTGAAAGCGAGCAGGAAGCCCGTGTTGTTTTTGCAGACCGAGGTGTTGCGGGGCCGTGCGCCGGGAAGGGAGTCGGGGCCGTTTCTGCCTGCTGCGGGGCCGGAGCCGTGTGGGCAGAGGAGCGATTTGGAAGCCGCAGGGCGAAGCCGACGTCCTTGTTCAGCCGCACACGTCTCTAAGAGGCCGCGTCCTGCAGCTCAGTGCGGCCGTGGGCCTGTCCTCAGGGAGCGGATCCTGAAGGTCCCTGTGGGGATCGTGCCCTCCCCTCCCACGTGCCCAGAGCAGCCTGGGTGCTCCCGCTCTGTTCCTGGGGTGGCTGCGCTGGACCTGTCCTTAACCCCAGCTCTGCTCCACAAAGAGCATCTCCCTGCGCAGATCAGGGCAGAGCCGGTGCCTCCAGCCGCCTCGGCGGGGACGCGGGCGCTTCCTGGGGCTGGGCTCAGGGCTGGGCTCAGGGCTGGCCCTGCCTCTGCTGCCCTCCCAGCAGGGTTTGGGCCCCGTCCCTGGCTCGCTGCTCCCTCAGTGCTGCTCGCCCCACTCTAGACCTGGCCAAAGTGTCCAGCTCCAAGTTTGCCTTTGAGGACCTTTCCCTGCTTCCTAGCAAGGTCCCATCAGGGCCTGCAAGGAGACCCGGCTTCCTCGGCTCAATCTCCCTCCCAGCTCCGTGCACACAGAGCAGGGAGCAGTCGTTGCTCTTACAGGTGTCCCAAGCCCTCCAAAACCAGAGCAGCCTGGGGGGATTATAAGCCCCCCTGTTGTGTCAGAGCCTGGGCCTGCTGCTCCCTGTCCCGCCTGGAGCGCTGGGCCCCGGGAGCACAGGCCGTGCCGGCGCAGGGAGCGGGGCCGCCCGTGCCCGCGCGGTGCCCTGTGCCGCAGGCCGCGCTGCAGCCGGGCCCTTGGACAGCAGAGGGCAATCGCCGTGCGCACCGGGCGCGCTCCCTTCCCTGCCCTATCCTCTTCCCTTTCCCATCCCCTGCCCTTCCCTGTCCCCTGTCCAAACAGCCGGTGCTTGCTGCTGGCTGCAGCGTTCCTGGGCACTCGGGAGGTGCCTGTGATTCCCAAAGAGCAGCCAGCTCCTTGCTCTGCACAGCCCCATCAGATGCAGGGTCCAACCTCGGCTGGTGTGGAGGAGTCGGCCACAGCAAGGGGCAGGTTTGCAGGGCTGCTGTCTGGTCCCAGGGATACCAGGGCACCCATCTGTGGAGGCTGGACCAGCTCCCAGTGGCCCTGTGCGTGGGAACAGCCACCTCTCCTTGATGTCTCTCACCCAGGAGGAAGGATTTCCCCTATCCCTGGGAAGAGCCAGATTGAGCAGGGCTGTGCTGGGAACGTCAGCTCACTACCCCTGCTCCGCATGGAGCTGCCAGCCGAAACGTGGTGGGCAGAGCGCCTCATCTCGGAGCAGAGGGGAGCTAGCAGGAGATGCTGCTGTTCTCCTTAAATCCCAGGGCATCCCAAGAGAGTTTCCAGCTCTGCAGGCTTTCCACAACAGCCTGGGGATTCTCCTCAAGCCGCTTGTGGGGGACTTAAATAAACCAGCACAGTAGCTATCATTTGGGTGGTTTCTGTATTATTTACATTTCCTTCCGCTCCTAACCAAGAGTCAGGCCTGGATCTGGCACCGTCCCCAGCCAGGAGCCGCGCTCAGAGCTTTGCCTGCCCGGGCCGCTCCTGCTGCTCTGTTACCGTTTAAGGCAAACTCGGACTGGCCCCGCGCTCGACGGCCCCCCCTCCCCGCCGCTCCTCCCGCCCCTTCCCGGCGGCGGCTCCGTGCGGATCATCCCAGGGAATCTTTGTCCCCTCCAACAGGCTTCGCTCCTGAGTCAGCGCCTTATCTGTCTCCATGAAGCAGATTGCGGCGGCGCCGCTCCCGCAGCCACGACATTTCTGTGGCTGCATTTTTCCATCCTCCTATTTTTCCCTTTTCTCTCTTTTTGCTAGAAAATGAGCCCGGGGCTGGCGGGACACGTGTTGCTCCCGTATGG